AAGGGGGCTCTCCCCCTTTTTTTAAATTTAAGCAAAATATTTGTTTTTGAAAAAGCGGGTTTCATATAATTCTTAAAAAACAAAAAGAAAATTTTAAGGGGGTAGAATTTTAAAATTTTTACGTCGATAAAATACATAAACAATAAGGATACCCCTCGGTACCTCTAATCTACCGTTCCGCTATCTATATGTAAATTAGTAAATACCCAATCTTCTATTTTTAGAAACGAACGTCACTGTGCGCTATAAATAGCCCTTGTGGGCGCTGTTTTAAAGGCTTAACAGTGACACTTTTCCTTAGTAATAATACAGAAATGTTTAGTTTGAAACAGCACAGAATTGTTTCCCCAACAAAAAAATAAAAGCAGAAGGCGGCTTTAAACACTATACAAATAATAAACAGAATACATAATAAAAATGGCCCTATAATTATAAAAAAAGAAAAACTGACATTAAAAATTAACATAGATAAAGAATAAAAATTGCCACGAATCTTCTTACTGTCTACAGTGTAACAGAGGCCGAAAGAATCCCTTTGATTTCATGAAAATATTTACATAGTAATATATTAGCTATAATTTGCAGACAACTACACACGAATGTTAAGATTCACACATTCCAAATAATCAATGCCATCTGTCTCACATATACTGGATATAAAGTACTGTACATTCTTGAACAGCTTACATATTTTCAATACAATAAGGATAAAAAAATACAATTCTTATTATCTTAACCAGTAGACAAAAACGCTAACAAACAATTCTCAATTATATAAACGCAGGGAACAAATAACAATTATAATATTATAATTTATAAGCAATCACGCGGACATTCTTAACTAGTTTCCATGCTACTTTAAGGTGTTTTTGCTGTTGCTGTTGTTTTTCAAACACCTTTTCATTTTTATATATAAAATTCTGGTTAAAGGGAGATCACTCGAGAACAATTAAAAGACAAAAGCAGACTTGGTTTTAATGAGTAGAGATAGTGGAATAAAACTTTTGGTTTACGATTTATGCAAGGTAAAGACAAATATTTGTTATTTTACTGAACGCATTTAACTAGGCATTAGTTTATAATTTTATTGTCCTATTATTTGAAATAACGTCTGCCATGACGTAGCGTATTTAATGATGACATCATCCCGTTGGAATGTCTTCTTGATGTGCCTTCATTTCTATATAGATACTCGAATCGCAGGCTCTGAAAAAGAAGATAGTTTCTTATCATTTTACCCAATGTAGAAAGATACATGAACCTAAGCATTTTTTCTAAGTAAATTATTACTTAATGTATGGATGTACTGCCGTTTTTTTTTGTTGTTATTATGTCTCAATAAATTACAGTTTTGAAATACAGAAAGAAACTTAAAATGTGCTTGAATGTGCTCCAACTTGCTCTAAAAAAAAATGCAGACTGCAATTTCCAAACATAGGTTATGTATAGAAAAAATAATAATTATTTCAAGATGTTTTTGTACATTCAATAGCTTTCGACTCATTTCAATTTACTTGAGGTAATAACAAGTCTATTCAAAACAAATTTTGGCATAATCAAATACGTGTCCACCATCAGGATACGGTGATCGGTATGTTTACAGAGTATAAGAAAAGAATAGTATTATAGTTTACAAAAAAAATGACAAAATTTCAGCAATCTAGTTTGATAACGTCTGCTTACAGAACGTCGGTGTTTCTACTCAGGTGCCCGCTTGTGTGTGAAATAATGCACGGAGGTACCCTTGACGTCTGTTCCCATCAGTTAAGCTGGAAACTCGCCATATCATATGACCTTTATTGTGTCGGTGCAACATAAAACAAACAAACAAACAAAAAACAACACCCAGCCAAAAAAAAACCGTGAGAATTCCTTTTACATACGTACCCTCTCTTTTTACGTTTCACAGCTCTACCAACGTTCACACACTGGCAATGTGACGGCACCTCTACAGGCAGAAACGTCACTGGTGGCCATGTACTAAGCCTCTCATCCCACACTAACATCCAGTGATGTCTGTACATCTGTAAACATTCACCACGGCTACAAGTACTGTTTACTCTGGAAAAATTATACAAATTATGTACATCTGTAAACATTCGCCACATCAACAAGTATACTAATTATGAACATCGGTAAATATTCACCACGTCTGTAAGTACTGTTTACTCTGGAAAAAAATATACAAATTATGTACATCTGTAAATTTTCACTACGTCTATAATTATTGTTTACTCCGGAGAAATATACAAGTTATGTACATCTGTAAATTTTCACTACGTCTATAATTACTTTACGTCTGTAAGTACTGTTTACTCTGGAGAAATATACAAAATAATATATATTCACATTTTCATTTATTCAATTTGATTTTCATTTATGCATAACCAAATATATATACATGTATACTATTATCATGAAACCTTATCCGTGTTTTGTTTCTTTTACTAATTAATATCCCAGTATAACTTTGCCAGGGAGTTTGAGATAAATTACGTTCATTTTATATAGCCTATATAACAATTATGAAATACACCGAATAGTTCGAAATATACCCAGATGGAAAGAAATTGTGCATTTGGTTACTTGAAAATTCTTTGTACATACATGATCAAAATTTGCAGGAATGTACTGATTTTAATGGTTTTATGTGTACAAGTGTGTTGAATATTTGTTAATTATAAGAATTTAAGTTTCGTGTAAATAGCGGAAGGGTGAAAAGTAAAAGTTGCTGAGTTGTGATTTTTAACGCTTTTTCTTTCGTTACGTGGCTTAATCAGTACATGTTGCGTTCATCTTATCTATGGATCAGTAAAGATGTACGAGACTATATGGACCTAATGTAATGTCATATCAATGCTTGAAAAAACAATTAAGAATCCAAAGGCAAACGAAGGCACAATCTTCCATCCTTCTGTTTTTGTCATAAAAGATTGTACGCTCCCTTCGCAGCTCACTGAATTCACTCACGTTACTTCAGACAGTGAGCGCTAGTGGAGCATTTGACCGATGCGTAGTCAAGAGTAAAAAGATTGTAGAGTTTTATTTTGACCACGGATTTTATTTAATCTGTTTTCTCTATCTATTCAGTTGTTTTCATTAAGTTTAATCTTAAGTTATGTGAGCATAGTCTTAAAAGGGAAAACGTTTTCTTAATTCACCCTTTGGTATTTTATCCAAATGTAATTATTACAAAAAGTTTCGATAGTAATCCAGTTTACATGTATTATCTAAATTTTCTTGTAATGACCTTTTAAACAAAGGGAAAAAAACGATAGGAGAAACGAATTGAAAGGAAATTATGCTATTGATAATTAGATAGTAGATAATTGATAATTAGATTATCAACGTAATGAGGTAAAATAAACACAAAAGACAAATGTAATCATAAGATAATTGTGGTTATGTTTGTTCTTGAATAAGTGTTAACGAGTACACGTATGTATAGAATTAGCGCGATTTGGTTATAAAACGCGCAACAATAGACTATAATTATAGATTTATCAAAAAGTAAATGGGCACGTTTATACATTGAGACAAAACTGTCCAACACCAAAGTACAGATTACAATACATTCATTGGATTGGATCATTAATTGACTCGATTCTGCTTGTTTAGAATACATTACAAACTGTTTCTTCAAATGTGTCTTCTTTTCTATGTAGTATTCGGCAATGCTCCATGAGAGCCGAATTTCTTTACAATCAGTTACGTAAGCGATCATGAAATGGAAAAGTATAAATCTGCGTTGAAAATTTGCAAGAACTAGCGAACAATATCATAGACAAAGATGAAGAATACAGAATATATCAAAGATATGATAAATGAACAACTGTAAGACATGAAAAAAAGATGGGAAGGTTGACAGCAAAATGAAAAGACTGAAATAGGTATTTACATATATTGTTTATGTTCGTCGAAAACTTTTAAAATTGTAAAAACAATTTATACAACAAAGAAAATGAAAACTTGATCAAAGACTATTGCTTTCGCTGCAACACATCCATCATAAAGGAAGTCAAAGAATCGCGAAACGATCATTTTCACAAGAAAAAATGCACGATACACAAGCGGCTTCGCTATCAATCAATTAGGAGCTGCTGCTGCGCTACCTAGATAGAGATTTAACTATTAAACAATGGAAGGCACAGTATGTTATATTAGTAGGTACAACTGCTAGAGCCTATGTCAAGCTGAAACTTTACGTCAACACGAACTTGTATTACTGTGCAATTGGGACTCAATATATAGATATAAAATATACGTAGATTTCTTATATTTACAGATGAATTGGAGCATATGGCACGCGGGCATTTTGAAACATTGACTCTTGTGCCAGCACATTGTGTTTTATATTGTTTTATCATTGAGCTATGGCACAAGCAAATTTGTATTGAACTCTGGCAAAATGATAGGATGAATCGTTTAGAAAAATGTTTAAGGGATAATAGACTTAATGAAAGACTAGGCGTATCTAGTGTTTAATTTCCAGGACTTGCCGTGCGGATTGGTACCTATGCCCATGAGGCAATTTGCGGCCTTAATTCAAATGTCAAACTCAATGTCCTTAATGATGAGCGTCCATAATATTGATGCAGCAACTTTGCTTTGAAATCGGACAAACTAGTAGATGACAGGGAGTTTCAAATACAATGTTTTTTTGGGAAACATTCTTATCAAAGAAATGAAATCCATGTCACATGTGTAATTTGTGGACGTATTTTTTTTGCTCCAGCACAATGTTTCTCACATTCCAGTTAGGGAACATATATAAGCTATTTCACCAAGATTGAATTCGGACAAATCAGTTGGTGACGGTGGGCTTCGGAGAATTATTTTTTTAGGAAAATGCCTAGATTTTATATATCTATAGAAGGCATCGCGCGCATACTGGAGCATATGCCACACGGGCATTTCGTCAATTATGTTATTAAGAATATTGGGCCCAAAAATGGCAGTCACTTTGGGCAAGGGAGGTAAATATTGTAGGAAACTATCTATAACAAACTACGAGTAACTTGACAATGTCGTTGTTTAATAAATAGTATAATGTCATTTTATACTCTATACAAAGACACACTTTTTTTGCATGCAAGAAGCACATTTATGCTGTAAACATAACAGATTTCAAATATTTACACTGTTTGTAAATTATCAGTATATATAAACAATTTAAGTATCAAACATAGTTAAACGTAATTAACCGACAATGCTATTTAAACATTATCAAAAAGTCAAAATGTGTCTATATTACAAGCAATCCATTATAAGTTATAACCACTTACAGAATGTTAATGCAACAGTCTTTAGGAGAATTGCCTTTAATATTCTCCAAAAGCGTCGTCTTGAAAAGGAAAACTATAGTTTTTTTACAAGGTACTCAACAAACCGCACGCATAGGTAAGGACTAAGTCAGTTAGACGCTAACAAATAGTAATAATAATAAAACGTTTAAAACAGTCAGTTCCATCTATTTAGGAGTTTCATATTTCCTTCTTAGTGTCTAACTGTAAGTTAATAAACAATGTTAATCGGACATAATCAAAAAACAAAACAAACGAAATAAAATAAAACAGCAACACGTCTTGTATGACGAGTCGCCCCAGCCTTCCCTGCGACTACAAGGGAAAGTCTAGTTTTGTATAATTATCATATTGTCATTATTATGGCAGTCTGATTCGTCACTAGCAACAATAATAAAATTGCCTTAGATACTTTAAAGCGGCCCTCCGCTTTTTTAAAGTTTAAGCAACTATGTTAGTTTTAGATAAGTCGTTTCATATAATTGTAAAATCAAAAAGAATTAAGGTGTAGAATAAAATTTGACGTCGATAAAATACAAAAACAATAAGGTACCTCTAATCTACCGGTCCGCTCTCTATATGTAAATTAGTAAATTCCCAATCTTCGATTTTTAGAAACGAACGTCACTGTGCACTATAAATAGCCCTTGGGGCGCTGTTTTAAACGCTTAACAATGATATAAAATAAATGCACTTTTCCTTGGTAATAATACAGAAATGTTTAGTTTGAAATAGCTCAGAATTGTTTCCCCAACAAAAAATAAAAGCAGAAGGCGGCTTTAAACACTATACAAATAATAAACAGAATACATAATAAAAATGGCCCTATAATCATAAAAAAAGAAAAACTGACATTAAAAATTAACATAGATAAAGAATAAAAATTGCCACGAATCTTCTTACTGTCTACAGTGTAACAGAGGCCGAAAGAATCCCTTTGATTTCATGAAAATATTTACATAGTAATATATTAGCTATAATTTGCAGACAACTACACACGAATGTTAAGATTCACACATTCCAAATAATCAATGCCATCTGTCTCACATATACTGGATATAAAGTACTGTACATTCTTGAACAGCTTACATATTTTCAATACAATAAGGATAAAATACAATTCTTATTATCTTAACCAGTAGACAAAAACGCTAACAAACAATTCTCAATTATATAAACGCACGGAACAAATAACAGTTATAATATTATAATTTATAAGCAATCACGCGGTCATTCTTAACTAGTTTCCATGCTACTTTAAGGTGTTTTTGCTGTTGCTGTTGTTTTTCAAACACCTTTTCATTTTTAAATATAAAATTCTGGTTAAAGGGAGATCACTTGAGAACAATTAAAAGACAAAAGCAGACTTGGTTTTAATGAGTAGAGATAGTGGAATAAAACTTTTGGTTTACGATTAATGCAAGGTAAAGACAAATATTTGTTATTTTACTGAACGCAATTAACAAGGCATTAGTTTATAATTTTATTGTCCTATTATTTGAAATAACGTCTGCCATGACGTAGCGTATTTAATGATGACATCATCCCGTTGGAATGTCTTCTTGATGTGCCTTCATTTCTATATAGATACTCGAATCGCAGGCTCTGAAAAAGAAGATAGTTTCTTATCATTTTACCCAATGTAGAAAGATACATGAACCTAAGCATTTTTCTAAGTAAATTATTACTTAATGTATGGATGTACTGCCGTTTTTTTGTTGTTATTATGTCTCAATAAATTACAGTTTTGAAATACAGAAAGAAACTTAAAATGTGCTTGAATGTGCTCCAACTTGCTCTAAAAAAAATGCAGACTGCAATTTCCAAACATAGGTTATGTATAGAAAAAAAATAGTTATTTCAATAACATATACATTCAATAGCTTTCGACTCATTTCAATTTACTTGAGGTAATAACAAGTCTATTCAAAACAAATTTTCGCATAATAAAATACGTGTCCACCATCAAGATACCGTGATTGCTATGTTTACAGTGTATAAGAAAAGAATGGTATTATAGTTTACAAAAAAATTACACAATTTCAGCAAACTAGTTTAATAACGTCTGCTTACAGAACGTCGGTGTTTCTACTCAGGTGCCCGCCTGTGTGTGAAATAATGCAAGGAGGTACCCTTGACCTCTGTTCCCACCAGTTTAGCTGGAAACTCGCCATATCACATGACCTTTACTGTGTTGGTGCGACATAAACAAACAAACAAAAAACAACACCCAGCCAAAAAAACCCGTGAGAATTCCTTTTACATACGTACCCTCTCTTTTTACGTTTCACAGCTCTACCAACGTTCACACACTGGCAATGTGACGGCACCTCTACAGGCAGAAACGTCACTGGTGGCCATGTACTAAGCCTCTCATCCCACACTAACATCCAGTGATGTCTGTACATCTGTAAACATTCACCACGGCTACAAGTACTGTTTACTCTGGAAAAATTATACAAATTATGTACATCTGTAAACATTCGCCACATTAACAAGTATACTAATTATGAACATCGGTAAACATTCACCACGTCTGTAAGTACTGTTTACTCTGGAAAAATATACAAATTATGTACATCTGTAAATTTTCACTACGGCTATTAGTACTGTTTACTCTGGATTTTTTTATACAAATTATGTACATCTGTACATTTTCACTACGTCTATAATTACTGTTTACTCTGGAGAAATATACAAATTATGTACATCTGTAAATTTTCACTACGTCTATAAGTACTGTTTTACTCTGGAAAAATATACAAATAAATACAAAGTGAATGAATGATGCCTACTGCATAGTTCACATTGATCTTTCTTAACTCTTACCAAGGACTTGCCCAAGTTTGACTTTGGAACAGCCCGTTTGTAGTATAAGGGATTTCAATATACCTTAATTTAGAGGCATATTAATTTTACTTTATATGAAAGACGTTGGAAGAAACTAAATTTAATGATATAAATTGTTAAGATGTTTCATGATTGATTAGATAGTAACAATTTTAATGTAGCCAGATCCATTTTCCCAGTAAATGACATGTTATATTAACCTAAATGCATGTCCCTTCATGAAAGAATATCATTATTTTATCTGTGAAAAAATACAAAATTTCTTAGAGAAAAAAACATATAGAGAAAAGTGTTTCCTCTGTAGGTACGTAACCTAATTCCTAGCACGAAAAGAAGTGATTAGATATAAAATAAGTGTTTTCACGTCGAAATTGTCTTTTAAAATTGAACACTTCCTGTTTGAGTTTTATCTTAATTGCGTATATATGTGAAGTTACTGCCTAACTTCTACTGATCAGTAGAGAGCGCTTTTATTTTATGAACGAAAGATGTCAGCATGAAATCATTTCTTTTTCTGTTTTTATCTTTAGGCCGAAACAAATTATCTGGACTCTGAATAGTGACGTCGAGTTGTTAACGCGTGGGACAAGTAATCTCAGGATTATGTATACTGGTTGCGTGGGTTCAAACCACGTCAGGGGCAAGCCGTTGTTTCTTGAGCAAGAAATTTTACACACATAGTACTGATTCGAGAGAGTTTGACTTAGCTTATAGCTTTCAACACGAACTAAAATAATAAGAATAAACTATAACGACATAGCAACGAACGTGTAGTGAAGATATATAGCGAGGTATTTCGCCATTATAATAATTGGATTAAATAAATAAAGATCTCAGTCCCGACAATACTTTAATTTCAAAAACTGTTTCTCTGAATACATTGATCTGGAACTTGTATGAGTAACAGTATATTGAACTGGAACTTGTATGTTACTCAAATAAATTTTGCTAGGCATGGATCTCACAAGGTGCCGAAACGCATAGTGTGATACGTTCTGTTAAGAAAGCCAAAATACTTGTACATTGTGTATCCGATAAAGATGCATTGACTTATCAAATATATCTCATCGAAACTATTAAGTATATATTCAACCATCACATAATGTATGGCCCCTAAATTGTAGCACTTGTTAATATGGTTAACAATGTCCAGGTCTAGTCCGACTAAATTTCTGTTATTGCTCCCTCATAATATTTTGGTCACTAGATTTTAGCAATAGCGAAGACGCTTATGGAAAGAGAAAAAATTCTATATACGAGTTCCTAGATGGTAAGGCGTTAGATATCTTAAGGCGTTAGCCTTTCAACCCGTAGATTGTGGGTTCGAGTCGTACTCTGGTCTCGAAACTGATAAATATAAATTGTAAAGATTAGTTTCACACTCAATGTTAGATATATTTGTTTAAACTACATGTAACAGAAATAGAATCAGTAATAATTTTAGCAGACTCCGGCCTATATAATAGTATGCCTGCCATATAAGTGTCCTTGATGCATAGAAAGAAAAAAAGATGCGTATTAATCTTCAGCCCAAAAATATCACCGAAGATTTGCGAAAAGGGGAAATGCGTTTTAAATCTTTGTAAAATCTTTTAACTTGGTTTTTAAAATTTTGGAAAACAAAAAATTTTAAAGTTGTCTGAAAATCTGCCGCAGCCGCATCTTTTCAATCCTACAACGTACGCAACAAATGCACAAATGGGAAATCACAGAGGGGGACATGGATATTTTTTTGTATTACTTCGTGACCACGAAATTAAAAAAAACAACATCATAATTTATGTCCCCAGTATTCTTCCATATTCTTATGTTTGATTTGATTTTTTTATTGCAAAAAATAAGACATATACATACATGTAAACAGTTACAACACAATGACATGCCATATTTGGCAAAAGGGTTGACCCTCAAGTTCTCTCAACATTAGCAACGGGTCTTCCCTCATGCAATAAATTACAATAACATATTTTACAAGAATGACTTTTCTTAAGTTTCTTTTACATGTATATTATTTTGTGATTGAGCAGGAAATTAACAAATTTAATCAAACAGTATTGTTTAATTAATCTTGCTTGAAATGCTTTTCTAAGAAAGATTTATCCATTAAAATCAATTCGTAGGGGTTATTTGAAGTTTTGTGTGTTTGTTGTTTGAAATGTTATTTCTTTTTTGTTGTTGATTTAGTTGTTGTTGCTTTTGTTGTTGCTTCTATTGTTGCTGATGTTTGTTGTTGTTCTGAGAAACCGAATTCGGGTGCAGTTTAACTTGGCTATTATTGTTGCGTTTTAGTAAAGAATATTTTTGGTACCCGTCTCCTGCAATTTTCTACATACAAGTCCAATGCTTTTTCATTTAGGCCTGCGAACCTCAACTTAGCATCGGGGGTATTGACTGGTGTTCGGCCGGGTTAACTACATGAAAGAGCTGTACTTGAAATAACGCACAGCCGGGCAATAGGTGTGCATCATTAACTAAAGGCGAGGTGGAAAGTTGTCACATGACCTCCTAAGTGGCAATGCAAAATTATTTGGATTTATAGGGGATATTCAAATCTGAAGGGCCATTTTCAATTGTTTGTTCATTTACGTCAAACCCCGGAAAGGGACTGATTATTGGTAATTGGCGAGGTGTTCCGAGCGTAAACAGAGCAAGTTCATTTTACAACAAATGGCGACGCAAAGATAAATGACGGTAAAGCCAAATACTTGTGAAAATAAGTACTGTTTTGTGTTCAAGAATTACATTAGTTATCTTCAAAATATCATATTACACATATCATTCATATTTTGACAAGCAATGCGTGATGTGAAATGTTTCTTTTCAGCACTTAAAATACTTAGGCTTTATTTATCTATTATTTATCAACATAAAACATGAACAATTTGTGTCGTTTGTGACGTGGTATTCCAGAAATACATCCATTACATTAAAACTAGGTCAAGTTGAATCCGTTCGGAAAATTAATTGAAAGTGTTCACCATGTAATAAATATAGTCGCATAAGATTACAAAACATATGTTTTTACGTATCACCCTATTTCACAATACAAATAGGCTTTCAAAGTATAGAATCTAAAGCAAGAATTTAGTGTCGTAAAATCAAAGCAGTACCATGTCTTTTTTTTTGTAGACTTTGACCTTTGTTTTCGCTGAAGCGACAACGGGACGCTGTTCAAGTATTTCCGCGATTTACAGTAGATCTACATAGGTTATATATTATATTTAATGCAATGTGTCTTTCGCAGTTAATGTATGAATTATTATGTTGAACAGTTGACAGTAGTAAGTTTTAATCAAATAAGCAAAAAAAGACAAGCCAATCAAAAGACTCAATGATAATTTGCATTGTCCTTACTTGTCACTTACCGACACCGGCCAGTTGGAACGAACTGGAACGCTTTATCAAAATGAACCACCTTGAATTCTTGAGCACTAACAGTTGTTGTGTTAAATATTTCATATCTGTAATCCCTAAAAATAGAAAATAAGCATAAAAAACCGATTACAAAAGATAGGGAAAAGGTAATTATCGAATTGTCGCTCAAATTTCTTCTTCTTCTGGCAGTTATCGTAATACATACCTTTTACATTTTTTTTGGCTCGTGGGATGATGTTTTCCATTATGACGTCACTAAATTCTAATATGGACATTCACATATGATTTGAAAATTGATTCAATGGTACATTGTATTGTTACTGTAGATGACTATTATCCTGCAGCTCCAGTTTACTTGTTGTTAGTAGATGACGATGATCCTGTTGTTAATATAAATGATGAAGTTGTTGTTGATGATGATAAGAATGATTATAATCAATTTGTTTTAATTAATGATAACACTTTGACGATGATGTTAATGATACATTGATGGTAACGCTGATATTGACAACGATGGTGATGTAAATTATAAAGATATTGTTGAAGATATGAATGGGGACAAGTAATTTGTTTCAGTTAATGATGACACTATTGGCGACGAAGATGTTGTTGCGCACAAATGAAGATATTGTTGAAGATATGAAAGGTCATAATTAATTTGCTTCTATTAATGATGACACTATTTACGACAAAGATGTTAATGTGAATGATGAAGCTATTGTTGAAGATGTGAATGATGATAATCAACTTGCTTCAATTAATAATGACGCTATTGACGACGAAGATGTTGATGTGAATAACGAATATGTTGTTGAATAAATAAATGATGCTATTTGATAATTAATTTGTTTCGACTTACATTGAATCTGATGACGACCATGTTGATATGAATAATGAGCATGTTATTGAAGATATAAATAAAGCTATTTGATAATTGATTTGTTTCGATTAATACGGACCCTGATGAATCCGATGAAATTGATTTAAATGCTGAATATGTTGTTAAAGACATAATGAAGCACGATAATGACGACTATTGTGGTGACGACGATATTGATGTAAATGCTGAATATGTTGTTGAAGATATACAAGATGATAAAGGACAAGTGATGTCGATGATGAAGATGACGTTGAAAAGTTTATAGTTAATAAATGGAAATAACTTCTGCTCTTGATATTGATCATGTTACTGAAGACATTATTGTTGATAAAAACTATTCTCTACCAACTGATTAAGCGGCAATACATGAAAACGTGACTGGCCATCCAGCAATTATTTTATTGCCAAACATAACACACAAAGATACTTTTAAAGATTTGAAGGTCAATGTCTGTAAACTGGTACCGCTGGCGACTTGCACGAAAACTTTATTTCAAGGTGATATTAATCAAAGGTTTAGAAATTAATGATGTACATATGCAAAACGTGACATTGTGGTGACGAGTCCTTTCTTTCCTTCTAATTGGTGAGTCATAACAGTCTATTTTTATACGAACGCTGGTTTAATGCAAAGACACAATGACTGTAGAAGAAATAATTGAATGCATTATCCACATTTGTTTTTTCACGCAGTCAACGTTCTATGACGTCATGGCCAATTAACGTTATCGTGCTGTCAATATCGGCTATGATAATACGTTAAGCACGTGTCTTTCTTACGTAAGTCACCACTGATATATAACAATCATTTTTTATAGAATAATTTTATACAAACAGCGTTTTTGTTATCAATGTTTAGGCTCTAAAAATTGAATTTTTGCCAAATAAAAGTGAATGCTAAATGTTGTTTACTCGTGTGTTTAGTAAAATGATGCGATTTTAAACACATACCATGCAGAGAAATCTTGCAGTTGCATCACAAGTTCTATGACATACTCAGAAGTAAAAGCGTACAACGGTTCGAGATTACAATTCACAACTTAAAGCTGCATGCCTCTAGATGAGCCGAAACATATACCAAGAAAATCAAACTTGAGAAATGTACTATTATATTAAGAAGAGTTAAGCGATTCAAGATTCAAGTATAATTTACATTTAATATGCGATACATGACTGATTTTGCGGTTTTTATCACCATATTTTTACTTTGTTAGTCACGCAATCAGGGCTAATTTTGTGTTTATATTTTTACCTCTTCTTGGTAATTTATGTGGAGTGTACATTGTTTGTAATGTGTAAATCGAAAGACCCTGTTGTAAATTAAAGTATTGTCTTTGTTCGCTTCACAATATTTTACTTTTATAATACAATTTCAAAATTTGCATGATCTGGAGGCATGCTGCTTTGAGATAAATATTGTAAAAGCATCTTGCATGTTTTTGCATGATAAAGCACTATTCGCTCGTGTAATAAATAATCAACCGACGTGAACATAAATAACCATGATAGTAAATGCCATATAGAGTAAGTTAATTTTACAGACGTATGCGATTAATTTCCATATTGTGTCACATCTTCTGTAAAATCAGAAATTTCCGGGATGGATTTTTTTTTTATAATTTTTTGAAGAAATCAATTATCCGCTAAGTTTCTTAGTATCATATTTATTAAACAAAACTGAAAGTAGCAATTTTCAATTATTTAACTTCGCAAATTAGTCCGAAATGTTAAAAGGTTTGACCTCGCGAAAACATGTGACTTTATACACTATATGATGAGCATGAGTCAAAAAGAATAATTTGTTTAACACTTACGTTGAGCAGCATCCCGGATTCATATACTGGTTTATATGTGGCAGAGTGTTAGCAACATAAGATTGTATTCCCGCCTCGCCGGGATTTTTATGTAGTTTAACCACTGGTAAATTAGTGAGGTCATCTCTCCCGACAAAAAGACCTCGATACGAGTTCATAACAACCTCTCTAACCGACTCTCTGGATTCCCAATTAGAGCACTGGCAGCCATATAACCACCATCTCTGATGTGTACAGTCCACAACATTTACCAATATAACACAAATTGTCACAATAATTGTCAATGGTAATATACATGCACTATATAGAGTAATTCCCATTTTACAGTCACTGTCTGAAAAAGATAAGACATAATAAACTAATTATGATGTAATTTAAACATCATTCTAACTTTTTTTTAAAAAAATATATGAAACTATTTAGTTACATTTAGTGGTTAAAATTTTTTTTGTCCAATGAAATCGTTCCTTTTTTCCAATCATTTGATACATGATACATTTAATTCATTTAGGCAGTACCAATTTCTAATTGCTAATCCGTTTTATCAGTGTATCACACATGCGCTATGTGAAGTATCAACCATTAAGTAATATCGCATCAGATAGGTTTAATTTCATAAATGCTATACTCCGCATTCATGGCACAACGAACGAGTATATTATTGTGTAAGTTGATTCTTATAACTTAACACTATTTAACTCATTGTTTGATATATATATATATTTTTGTGGAGTTTACACAAATTATATGCACATAAGCGCAATTATTTATGTTAAAATGTAACGTTCATTTCATACAATTCTAAGGGTTCATCAACAATTGATTTCATTCTTTCGTTACGAAGTCATATATGCAAATTTAGCCAAGAAAATGTAAGATTGCATGTAAGTATGCATAAATATGACCAGACAAACTCTTCAATGTACTATTTTGACATTCAAGTAAAATCTTCACTTTATCAACCTGGCATTGCAAGTTGTCCTAATGTGCCACAAAAATATGCCTTTTTATTTCAAAATGCATTCAAAAATGAAAATAATATGATGACTGAACTTATGAAACTATCAACCTATGCCTTTATGCACAAGCGTCACCTCGATCTATAAGCTACAAACTCATAAAAAATTGTTTTAAGAACCACATGTTTAATCATCGTTATTACAATTTATGTCACTAAATGACAAAAAGATATGTACTGGACATGCTTATTTATTGCACTTTCATATCATGTCTTTCTACATTCAAGTGTAAACTTGACCATAGGGCTGGAAATCTATATTTTTTAATTAAGTAATATCATAATAAACATCATATTTATAAAGTTTATCCATGAATGACAAAGTATTGCACAAAAGAAGACCATTTATTCACGATAATCATGTTTGACATACAAGTGTGACCTTGATCTTTAAACTGGGACCTAACCCCTGTCACCGGGCCCTGTGCGCGACTCATAACACATTTATGCCAAGTTATCTAAAAGTCCATCCAGGAATGGCTGAAATGTCGACCGGAACAACTATCAACGCACTTTTATGAAAACAAAATCATTTCATGTCTTTGGGATATAAGTGTGACCTTGACCTTTGTTTTGAAATCCATCAAGGAATGACAGAATTGTTGACCGGACATGAACATCAGTAAATATTGTATCAAACTTTTCCTTTGAAATCAAATTGTGACATTTCTTGCGCATGACACATTGTCCCAATGTGCTACACATTAAATTTTATGCAAAATTATTTTAAAATCCATCCATAGATAACAAAGGACAATGTTTGGACGAACGCCACTACAAAACAATAATTATGCCTTTCCATTTTTGGGGCACAAATTCACTCATTATATATTGTAGATCGATTTCTTTGTTAAATGGGGTCAAAACCGACACTCTGTCATTTAAAAACATAGTTTCCGTGATCTATTTCAAGAACAGAAATATTCTTTCAGTAGTTACATATAACAAAGGAGTTGCCTACGTGATTGTTAGGTGGTGCAATTTGAAACAAATACCTGTAAAGAATAATCATTATCTCTCATTTCAATTAATTTAAATTGGAATGAAATACCGAGATCGATTTACCTAAGACATAAAATGCATTCCACAAAAGAATTAAAATAAATTTTCATAAATTAATAAATTAACATGACCGTACCTTGTACACTTGGATTTCTCGCAGGCCTTATATTGTCATTAAATATACTTGTGGAATTCTAGGATCTTGCACTATTTATTGTCGTCGGATACTTTGAACATTACACCATTGGTGTGACATGTGCTGAATAATCTGATATTAAAATATGTCTCTTTGGTACATGCATGCTTTGTGGGTTAAAAGTCGTTCCCAGTCCTGTAGTAAAAATAGAAAGAAGTATATATTAGAAATTGACATACCTTAAGAGTTTCTTTTATATTGATGCATCAATTAATTGTTATATTCTACAGAGACCGTTTTTATTGATACATCAATTGATTGTTATACGTGTATTTAAGAGGGGCGTCTCTTGGCGTTGCATGAACTTGTTCGCCACCTTAGTTCATTAACAGGTTAAGTCCTTCTAAATTTAATAGGAGTTAATCAGTTATTGCACTAAAGTGGCATGTTAGAAAAACCCTTTTTTTTACTTCTGTAACATTAATTTTGATGTAATACTTGCTGTATTTAAAAATCTTTTTGCATGTTGCAATAAAATGTTTTAATACATAAATTGTGTTTATCCATAAAAAGTTAAGGTGGTATTGTTATTTTATTACATCAAAACACTGTTAAGCCACCTCCTGATGTTGCAATGGATGTAATCACTTTGTAGCCCAACCCTTTTACCTTTGTAACATTGATTTTTATGTAATATATGATGTACTTCAAAACGTTGTAAGTGCATTAGACAATACACATAAAACGTCTTTAATACATAACTTTTATCTTTTATTTGATATTTTAGTCGTGTCTGGTCTGAAGTAATAAACTGCGTGATTTGGCTAATATTTTGTTTCTAGAAACTTTTAGACATGGGCGAAATAGAAAAGAAATATATGTTATTTCTGTGATACTGACATAGAAGATGAGTATAATTTTGTAATCACATGTAAAAGCTATTCCGATCTGAGAAACAAACTCATAGCATGTACAAATGTATTGATTTATTTAGTTAAAAAAAACAACAAAAGTTTTGATGAATTGTGTGTTGCGTTATGAAGTGTTGCATTGCTATGTATTGTATTCTTGAATTGTAATGTATTGTAATGTATTGTATTGTATTGTATTGTATTGCATTGCATTGCATTGCATTGCTTAAGTACTGTGTTGTGTTTTTGTGTCTTGTATGCGTAGTGTTGCATTGTGTTGAAGTAACCCAGCTTTACTAGTGTAAAACCTAACGTAGTTGGTCTATTTGTATTACATTTGTATTGTATTGTATAGTTTGACATTTCTGTAATGACATGTTATCAAATATGATTGGTCTACACTGTATACATGTATATCATAACTAAAGGACCGAACAAAATTCGTTTTCCGCTATAACATTTATATGAAAGGTACAACTTATTCCCATATGTTATACATATCTTATAATTCGTTTAAAGGACAATATAGAATTAACACGTGGCGGCACGTACCGGGACGTAATAAAATCCGAGTAACCTCTCTAGTAAATCTCTATGTAACACCTGTTCGTTCATCTTCGTACATGTCAGCCAACGGTCATATTTCCTTTCTGACACCAAATATTGTGTAGGTGTTTGTAGGTGTACAACACATTAGCCGGACAGACACATTTAGCTGTCATAATGGACAAGTCTATTTACTGACCATTCCCCCAATGGTGGCTATATTCCCAGGTGGTCAATGATTATGACAAAAATGCATCTTAAATGGTCGGTTACTTTATTTTGTAAAATTTAAAATGAATTTAAAATTTGTCAAACAAGTGTTTGACAAATTAGCCTTTTCTTTTACATATGTTCTACAAATTTAGAACTGTCCGCCCTTATAGAAATACGAGCGGAATTGTCAGCCCCTATAAAAATAATAAGAATGAAATTGTCCGGGCTGTCAAAAATAAACAGGAAAGAATTGTCCAGGAGGGGGTTGTCCAGGAGGGAATTGTCCAGGGAGGATCCCATTTAGCAACGAGCATAAAGTTCATAACTTTACAGCGGCAAATAAATAAAATATACTGATATATAAATAAGTGAATAAAAACATTCAAACTGCAATTAAAATAGACTTTGAAATGCGATTTATCATATAAGTCAATTCTTCACTGTTAAATACCATTATCGTTTTATTTCAGTCTACAATTAGTTAATTTGAGAGAAAAAAGTGTTACATTACTGGTATGACGTGAATTTATAGTACTCATTTGGTCTATAGCCTTAAGGCATTAGACATGCACTTAACGATTCATAGTTAAACGGTATTTGTAATAGGCGAAGAAATTCAGATTGTAAATGGCTCATCATACAGTATATTCACATCCATGACCAAGTGTTTAAGGTTATTGACTTCAAACCACTTGGCCGTTACCACTGTGGGTCCGAATTCCGTCAAGGACTTTGGATTATTTCATGTGAGGAAGTTATACTAAATCTTACGCAACGTCGGTGGTTCTACTGGGATACCCCATAAAGGGACTCCACTGAGGGGTTTTGGCATGACAGGACTGGAAATAATTTTTCGAGAATAATGTTTCATTTGATGCAGGTCTAGAACAGTAACTTTTGTCCAAAATTTCAGGTCATTCGCTTACTCCGTTTTTCCATGATAATTGTTCCTATTGTGAAAAATGACCAAAAATTGAAAAGCGTTGCAACGCTTTTTTACTCAAATCGGACTATGAATAGCACAAAAATACAAATTACAATTCATTTTTTTAATTATATTTTTTTAACCATCTTTTGCATATCTTTCTATTTTAAGTGCCCAAGCTAATGATCTATGTAAGAAGTTAAAATTTTATGGTTTTGGCTTTTGAATATCAGTTGAATTCCTTTAAATAATGCAAGGATAGGCACTTACTGTTTATTGCTTGTTACAAAATTGGATGAGCACCATGTCTGACTTGCAGTAGACAAAACCATTAAAGATACCAGAAATCAGACATGTTAGTGCTTCAACACATAAAAGTTTCAACGAGCAAATTGTCCAAAGCATGCAATCTAAACCGTTTAGCTATGGAAGACAAGTGGGGACATTTATTAAGTCAAAATGGTGAATTCACGAAAATGAAGTCGGGAGTTCATGAAGTTGAAATGTTCCCACCGGTCTTTCCCAATGGAAGCTTTCGACTACTGTGTTTAAAAGGATTTCCATTTTTGTAATGCAAGTTTTGATACCGCAGTTTCTACAGATCGTTGACTTTTTTCTCTCTCTTTTTTTGACAAAGCTGTGTCTAACAGTTCTTAATGCGGATCATCAAAGGAAACAAATGAATGTATTTTATGATAACTTCCGTTCTTTAATGTCTATGTTAATCATTATCAAATGTAATATAAACAGTATAAACAATGCACATCTGTCTTCTACATCTATATCTTTACCGGTTTCAAAGTAACTCCTACCCTGCTTGGACTTAAAGGGACTCCACTGAGGTCCAAAGCCCTTAAAACACAAAATCTGAATTTCTTACATAGATCATCTGTGGTGCTTAAAACAAAACAAAAAATATGCAACAGATAGTGTAGAAATATCTCAGAAATAAATTGAAGTTGGAATTTATATGTTATTCTTAGTTCGATTTTGGGTCATTTCTTACGATCAAAAAAGTCATTCCCGAAAAACGGATCGAGCGAAAGATCTGAAATTTTGCCCACAAGTTATTGGTCTAGACCTACATCAAAATTAATACTTATTACAAAAAAATATTTTTAGTTTTTTGTTTTTTTTCTTCATTTCTTGCCTTTTGATACTGATATGCCTTACATTTTAAATGAATTCTTCCAAATTCAAAGCTGGACGAATCCATTACACAAATTCAGCAGTGTTAGGGTTTAAACAAGAAAGAGAAGGTTCACTCATATATATATATCATGACAGCACAATGAGTTTTAATTAGGTAAAGTATTTGACCCACATTTTCAAATTCTCAAAGCAAGCATATTTTAATTAGGACGCTCGTAAAAATGAAATTAAATTTTGAAATGACAGTATTATGAAAATAGGTTGTTTTTTTAAATTTTTATACGTATCTTTTATAAAACATTTAATTTAATGGCCCATTATGCCCCAGAAATGCTTTTAGCTTTATATTTCAACAGCTCTTTCTTTTTGCTGCCCTGCAAAAAATTCTAAATAGTTACTCACTGGCCATTTGCATGAACCATCTTTTGCTACAGTTGCTTTTTGGCAACATGTGCAATTATAGCGCTTTAGTACTTTTGGAAGTCAAAATACACTTTTGTTTACATTTTGCTACTTTTATGACATATAATTTCACATTCAGTGCAATTTTCTTTAGGCGATAAGCATCTAACATGCTATGAAAACCGTTTTTTAAACGTTATAGAACTCATATTTACCATTTTTAAAGAGAGAAACAATTAGTCATTTCTGAGGGTAATGTGCCTTTAATAGATCTTTGGTGTACTTTGATTTTTTTAATTGATTTTTTGTTGCAGTTAGTTTATATCAACTATTTTTCAGTTATTTTTCTGAAACATAAGGACAAAAAAGAGAATACTTGGACTACAAACTTTATATCAACTGTACAAGAAACGCTGCAAAACGAACCTTAGTCATTTCGTTTTGCTCGTAAATGTCGAAAAAAAATAATACTTTTTTTGCATTTAATCGTTCAATATTTAAAAGGTACATTACGCCCCCCGAATGCCACCATATTTTCTTCATAAAATCTTTTTTTTATTTTTAGTTATTTTGTTACAGTTTCCTTAACTTTATTCCTTTCCCATATAGATGAACTATTTTTTGTTTCTTTTGGTCTTTGGCAGTTGGTATAGTGATTTTGTTTTTGGTCAAAATAGTACTTTGATTATATTTTGCTAAATTACTATACGTTTGGTGCTACTTTCTTCAGTTGTTTTACATCTTACATGAAATTCATTATCAAAACATTTTAGAACAAATGTTTGACCTTTCTAAAGAATTTTTTAAAAAATGGTCATATTGTGCCTTTTAGAAATATGTAATATGCTGATGGGGAATTGTTGCTTAAGTTTGTATTTGTTTCCTATTTTATTTGCTTTGAATTAAGAAACAAGTTCATATCAATTTTAAATACATTTTTGATACGCAAGTAGATAATTAACTAAGAATAATAATAAGTAACACGCCTTTTAGATTTCTAATGTTATTTGTGCAACAAATTAATTGTTAATGAAATGATTAACTTGGTCTTTTAATGAAGTGTGGAATCCTAAAAGGTATACATTCCAGAATTTAAAGTTCCTTTTATGTCTAGTAAACCATACCGCTTTTTATTGATTATTTCAATTCATTAATGCAAAATAAATTGTTTATTTTAACTGTATATATAATTATAGTTAACAATCTTTTTAATAATACCTGTATTTTATGACAATGTGACGGTCCTCCAAATGGTTTTAATATCCGAAATTTGAGTCCCTTTTAAATGGGAAATTATATAAAAACCATAGACAAAAAAGCACTAACTAGAAAAAAACAGCACAACAATATAATAAACAGAGACGTTTAAATGGTAGCGTCTACTGCCCGTTGTAAATCTCACGACTGTTTTGTTTAACGGCGACACCATATCATTCGTTTTATTTAATTACAATTAATTAATTACCTTTGTCGCATATTGCGGCTTTTTTATTTAATCTAAATAAATAATTAGAATAAGACGACAGGGTTATTCATATGAAACTTTATAAAGATTTTTTTTTCATCAACATTCCTGTACAATGCAAGCCAACTGCACATTTTTTCGCGAATATAAATCATGACTTTGTCATCTACTTGCTGCGTTTTAAACCCTTAATTAAAGGTACGGTAGACAGTGTCTTTGTTTGATATAAGTTATATATGCGTCCAGAGTTGTTTTATGGGATATAGAACATTGAAATGCAAGAAAATGTGCAAAGACACAGCTGTTCTACTGACTTGACAGAAAGTAAATTTCACGTTTTTGTGTTTGTTTGTATTTTGCAATGTTTGTATTTAAGCATTTTTATATACTTAAAGGGACTCAACTGAGGTTTTTTGACATAACGAGATAAAGGGACTAGAAAAATACTTATCAAAATTAATATTGCATCTGATTGCGTCTAGACCAATAGCTTGTGTGCAAAATTACAAATCATTTGCTCACTCCTTTTTTCCAGAATAATTATTTTAATTGTGAAAAATGACCCAAAATTGAAAAGCGTTGCAACGTTTTTTTCTCAAACGGACTAAGAATAGCATACAAATACGATTTTCAATTTATTTCTGAACATTTTTTCTTAATTACCTTTTGTTTATCTTTCTGCTTTGAGAGCCTCAGCTGATCTATGTAAGAAATTCAAATTTTATTTTCTTAGGCGTTTTCCTTTAAAGCATTTTCAATATACTTTCAAGTCATGAATTCAAGTCATGTTTTGACCTCACGGTTTCAAATACTTTAACCATTAAAATCTTCAAATAAAAAATAATTGCATGGTTGTGCAAAGGACCTGAATAAATATACCATGCGACCTATGAATGGGAAATTGTTGTCCTTTTGGGAACAACTCTTCTGTTTGCTACAGCATTATTGTTACCCTCATTCACTTTCAGGCTATAATTCTAACAAAATTATTCATAACTAGGTAGGCTTGTTATGTCAATTTTGCTCTGTTATTCATATGAGCAAGATCATGTCTTTAAACAGTCAGCGTATAAAAACAAATGGTATATTATTTGATTTTTATAGTAATAGATAGAGGATATTCATGTTTTTTTTCCTATAAATTCATCGAGTGGTATGAAATATTATATTTTTCATGTCACAGGATAAAAATAAATTCTGTATTTATAGAAAAAAAACACTTGGATTTTCTGTTTATGATATACTTTTTCTCTCTTTTTTTTGACCCTACAATTCTTAAGACTTTTCCTTGAATTGTGTGTATTGGCTGAATCAAGAAGAAAGTAGTCCGGCAAGACACCAGTTAAGATACGGAAAATATGTTCCCTGCAGTGAAAAATAAAGTTTAACAGGAAAAATACGGGGAATGAAAATACGCATTTTATTTTATCATTTTTTTCTAAATATTTCATTTATAAGTATACAGTATAATAAAATATTTATGTCCTTCAGAGTCAGTTCATTAATTCTAAGTTTGAATGTAACGTTATTAGACACGAGTCATTTTGACGTTACCTCTGCGTAACGTCCTAGGAAAGCGCTGTGGAGCAACACCTGTGTATAATTCGTACATTCACAGTTCGCACGGTGCAAAGCTATATGACTCACCTTAGAATACGACATGAACTTGTATATGATATAACTTTATATTATATAAGTGCATCTACAATAACACGATTAAACTTTACCATAACCTGATGTAATAAGAAATTCAAACAGCGCTTATAAGTAGATCCATATGAGCGTCATGGAATTTTATTTGGTGCTACTGTTTTATTAAAGGGACTTCACAGGGGGGCTTTTAACATGACGGGACAGGAAATCATGTTTCGAGATTAATGTTACATTTTATGTAGTTCTAGACCAAGATTTTTGTGTGCAAATTTTCAGATTATTCGCTTACTACATTTTTGCAGAATATTTATTCTTATGGTGAAAAATGACCCTAATTTGAAAAGCGTTGCAACGCTTTTCGCTATAGTCGGGCTAAGAATATCACAGATTTTTTTTATTTATTTCTGAGTAAATTTATTACTTATCCTCTGCTTATCTTTCTGTTTTAAATGCCACAGTAGATCTTTGTAAAAAAAGAATAATCAAATTGTATGATTTTAGCCTTTTAGACCTCAGTGAAGTTTCTTTTAATAAGCAAATACTGTGAACACTTTCTTGATACGTTTTTACATGTTGTTTGTTATTTATTCATGTTACACCAATTTATATGATATCGTTTAAAATAAACTGGCCAAATTAGATTGATGATCGATATCAACTATTGGCCTTTATTTTCTAAATATGGCAAATATTGCAGTCATTTAAAGCACTTCACATATTTCCAAAAAAGTCCTTTAATCTCAACAAAGTTATCGATGAATTAACATAAACGGTTTCATCAATGTTATGAGCGCGACAACCGTGCATATAAATTACGTTTCGAACGTTAGCTTTGCCCGCCATTTTTGATAGATCGCTTCAATTCTAAATTCTTGTGCACGTTTTTCACGATTTTACGTTATGTAATGCGTGTTTTTTTCTGCAGTTATTATTTTAATTATTATTGATGAGTTGCCGTGGTTAATGCTTTAAGTAGAATTAACACAGTGGTGTTAAAGCTGCCTGCCTCCAGCTACGTCAGAATATTTCAAGAAAATTAAAATTCAGAAGAAATATACTTCAATTTTAAGAAAAGTAATAAGATTTAATATTCAAGTAATAATCAAAATTGTATGTGTGATGAAAGACTAATTTGCAGAATCTATCGCAACAGTCCTTACTGCTTTACTTACGCAGAAAGGGATATCTTTTGCAATGTTTGACCTCTTTTTGGTAATTTAAGTGGACTGTAAGAGCCTTTTATAATGTGTAAATATTTTACTTTTGAATACATTTTCAAAGTTTTCATGAAAATTTGCATGAATCTGGAGGCATGCTGCTTTAAAGGCATGATTTTTTTTTAAATTTAATTGTAAACAATGATGAGTTATTTTAATTGCATTTGCGAGGGAGGGTGTATAATTAAGATAAACCACTGAAGACACAGCTATAGACTATCAATAAATACGTATATAAAACGAATTTAAGTATTTGCGGTTGAAAACAAATTTGTACAATTGTAATTAAATGTTTTGCTCAGTCATTCTAGGATGGCTTTTGATAAAGAAGAAGAAGAAAAAAGAGAGCAAAAACACGCTTTCCTTGAAAGCAGATTAGTTTTTAGTTTAGTAATTTAGCAATGTTTTTAATTTTGTGATTTTGCAAATTCACCAAATTCAAGTTTATGGCAAAAACAATTGCTTTTGACAATTTACAAAATATACATGTAAACTGGGACAAATCTCAGATTTGAAGTACAGCTAAGGTAAGCAATACAATATTGACTATACTGTAATTAGTATTTTACAATTATTTAGTATCTATAAACTTTAAAGAAGTTTAACATGTAAAGTCTTATTATGGCCTTGACCTTTAAATTAACACCTCAACACTTGTTCTCCATCACTACACATTCTTAATCACCTCATATTTTAAGGCGCATTATGCGCCCGAAACAAATAAATGAATTTTATTATGTTAAAACATGGTTTTAGATAATATTAGATGCTTGTCACATGAAGAATGTAGCAATTTACGTGAATTTTGTTTTTGTCATAAAAATAGCAAAATGTTCCACGGTACAGTGTAGCATTTTAACTTACATTAAACATACTTAATCACTATAACTGTACTTATTGCCAAAAAGTTACAAATTAAAAAGATGGTTACGGTATCAGACCAACGAGTAACTTTTTGGATACTATAAAAGTACATCAAAATTAAAAAATCTTTTGAGAAATAAAAGCATTTCTTGCGCTTAATGGACCTTTAAGCAAAGTTTTTTTTTTTTAAAAATATGTAAATGAATGACAAAGAAATGAGCTGAAACTGACCATATCATAACTTTAGAAATTCAAGCTTGAATTCTTGACATTTCAGCTTCTGAACAGGCTCTTGTTAAGTACATTTGTCTGAATAAGCCTGCTATTTATAAAGTAAAGCACAAATACGACCATCTAAATGTGACCTTGACCTTTGAGATGAAACATAGTACTTGCGCGCAACACGTCGTCTAAACTTGCAGTATATATATGCCAATTAATTTTCTAACTCAACATAACCTTGACATTGACATTGACGTAGAGATCTGATTCCTGCGCTCAACTCCTTGTCATTATGCCCAACGTACAGAATGGCAGCCTGGACAAGACCATAAATGCACTTTAATGACAAATTCATCAGAAAGCTCACGTGTGACCTTTCCCTGTGAGGTGGCGTAGCACGTCGTCTTCATTTCTAATACATTTTTCATATTTTTTTAATCTATCAAGTAATGACACAATTATTGACTAGACATTACTTTCAATAAACGTTTATGACAAAATTCTTTCAAGTCTCAGTTTAACCTTGACCAAAACCTGACATACATGTATACATCTTATCATATTTATCATTTTACAGCTGAATCCTGTTTGAAAAAAATATACAAAATCCAAACGCGTCTTAAAGATCCTGTAACTCAATTTTTATTGGTTTATATCATAAATATAATGTTCAAATGAAGATTTATCAATAACGTAAGTTCCAAAAAGCATTATTTGTAAAGATATTACCGAATTTACATTTCATGCTAATAAAAGGAGGTAATCAAAAATTTATTTTCGATATTTAGTCTAAGTAAAAATTGCCAATAAGAAATGAATGTATATATTTCAATGATTACATATAATGTGGACAAATATTTGCATATTCTTAGATGTTTGAAAATTGTTTTAGAATCATAATTATATACAAATATAAAATTTCACATTAGTGTAACAACCTTAATTGCAACATACAGGATCTTTGATTTACTAAATCAAATGCTCTTTGAAATCAAAAATATGT